TGAAACTAATAATTCAACATTCACTAGGAAAATGCCATGCAAATGGACGTGAGTAGATTAACTTCACAATTATTAGTTAAATGAAAGATTATAGAAATAAATGAGTTTTGAATTTTCAGGAATGGATACTCTTTGGAAATTGCCTTGTTGCTGTCTGTATTTTTGGGGATGTTTGGATTAGACCGCTTTTATTTAGGATATCCTGGCATAGGACTGGCAAAACTGTGTACTCTTGGGTTCATGTTTCTAGGCCAACTACTAGATATTATACTTATAGCAGCACAGGTAAATCTAGTTTATCTATTTTATATTGTTTGCCACAAATTGTGTTATAGTGTAATTTAAAGACATTTGTAACTCACACAATTTTGGCTATCATACTAGTTCATAATTATTCCATTCCTTTCTTCATATTGTAGGTGGTTGGGCCATCTGATGGTTCTGCTTATGTTATACCCTACTATGGAGCTGGTGTTAATGTAATCAGAAGTGATAATGATACATATCTTCTACCACAAACAGACTGGCACAATATTACTTGACAGTGGGGTACAATCTCTTTTGAGGTTGATGAAGAGTATGATTGGACTTAACAGTGAACAATTGTTCACATCATATTGTTATTGTGCTGTCTCAAAGGATCTTCCTGTCCTTAGTTAGAATCAATTACATCTAATAGTTTTAAAACTAGACAGTACATAAATGATAAATTGAAAACTCTTAAAACTTTGTAACTTGTACTATAATTCTATGCAGTTTTAACTTATGTTATTTATAATGTATAAAGTGTAAATAAATCTTTAGGTAATTGATGGTATTTTTAAATCACTACAAGTTTAACTATTATCCTGCTCTTTCTATATTGTCTTCTTCTTGTAATGCCGGTTGGGTCTCCTGGAGGGAGACATCCGATGGTGGGGCCAGTAAAGTGAATATAACAGGTATATTAGCGAGTAAGGGATTGTCATGTTTTTCTAGTAACCTTATCCAGGAAAGTAATGAATCTCTTGATGAAGTACCTGCAATATATTGAAGAGTAAGTTAATTGTCTTATTTGTTTTGGTAGACAAACCTTATTCTTAAAATGAAGTCTTAATACCTTTTATTAATTTCAACAACAGTACTGTAACTTTATCAAATTATGTTTACACCGTGTTACATGTGATGAAAATATACATTGTACATTGCACATCTTTTATAGTCATAATGTTAATTTAGGCATTAACACCGTTGTTTATAATAATGTTAATGTAAATATTCACATTATATATATAAAGGACTTTGTATTTTAATTAAACTATTACTATTTCAATTATAATTTAACTGGTTTAAAAACATACAGACTGTATAAGATGTAAAGTCTCAAAACAAATCTTTATACTTATTTGAACTTAATTCAATTTTAGAAACATCTGATACCTGTAGCACAAATAGCTAAAATTGTTCCATCATCTTGTTCATGTACTGTACATTTTATTGAAGGTAAAGTAGTCTTGCCAATAAAGCCAGGTATTCCAGAGGGTTTTTCAATTTTAGAAACATCTGAAAGTAATAAATAAAAATATAAGTTACATAAAAATATTTTACATACAAAACAATTGACACTTACCGTCCCAATCAATGTCATCTTTTGGTTCAGGTCTTATTTTACCTAGAAGAGTAAAATAAGTAACACTTTGATCTCTCAAGTAAACATAATAGGGGCCTTTAATCACAAGCGGTTCTTCGATGGGTTGTTCAGCTAAGAGCAACTTCTGTATTCGACTCTGACCACTTACTATCCAAGTCTTGTCTAGCGCAACCTCTATCTCTTCTGTCTAATAAAATTTCAGTTTAAGTACATAAATAAATACTATATTTTACATAAAACAGAAGTATTATGAAATTTGTAATTGAATAAATCACCTGCCAAAGATTAATATTAGTGTCAGGATCTACTGATGTGATTCTCTGAATAGCAAGTTTTGCTAGTTCTAAGGTATCATCTGGCATTTTATCAGGGAGGTACCAGGGACTCAGATTTTTAAATTTTGGCATCCAATACATCATCCTCCAATATTTTCTAAGAGGAATACCTCTTCTACCAAATGTATTTAGTAGCATTTGTTCCATTTCAATATCAGGCATTACACCTGAAATGTTACAAGTTTTCATTTAAAAGAATATAACATACTATTAAGAAAATAAAATCCCTATATATTTTCACCATAGCAATATTTATAATTTAGTAGTATATAAAATACTACTAGTAGCTTCAATAAGGAAATTATTCTACAAACCATTATTTTCCATCTGTTCCAATAGATCTACTGCACATTGTTGGTGTTTTGGGTAGTGCAAGAATTCAGCTTGAAATATATTTGTTGGAACCAATTTTCCTTTAGGTAAGACATCTACTAAAGCTTTATACGCTTCAAGATCATTATTAACACCAAACTCTTTCATCCGACCAAGGGCAGCGTAAATAAATTCTACGTGACCCCGTCTTCTTTGATCACGACCTTCGAAAAACTTAATAACTTGCAAATATGACTCTTTATTTTTTTCTGGCTTATTAGAAAACGGGTCGTGAATAGCCACTCGTTTTTCGGAACTTTCATATCTTTTGAAAAATGAGGTCTTTATTCTAGGCCTTAAAAAACTTCTGAAAATATTGGTGGCCATTTTAGGTTATAAATTTTAAATACCAGTTGCACAGTATTTTATAGCGCCTGTGTATATTGTTCATTTAATAGCGTAAATATTCAACATATGTGTACCGATAAAAAGTGGTCAAATATTTCGAGAAATAATAGCATAATTTCATGAATCTTGATCTTCGTTCAGTTTTATTTTTAAAGATTCCGCCCCCGGTTACCGGTAACGAGCCGTTTGAGCCTTGAGGTCAATTAAGGGCTAGCACGCACGGGTTACTTTTGTGATTTGTCAGTTGTCACCTTGACTGTTTCATCAGTCCTCACTCATTACAATTCTGTGGATATGTATGGAATGCGCGCAAAAGTGAATACCCGAGAAGACGATATTATTGATAATGACATCATTATTGACGAAGTGGAAGAGAGACCAGTGCTCTATGATGAAAAACTGAAAGACTACTCTGACATTAATTTGAAAAATAAAGCATGGGAAGAGATAAGTAAAATAATATTTAGCAATGTTTGGGGTACTCAACCGTCTCTTCGAAATCCAAATTGGCAAATGACACTTCGTAGTTCGTGACTCGTGAGTAGACTCCACTTTAGAAACATGACGTGACAATGACGATACGATAATGCTATGGCGATTATTGCTGGTGATCGTGTGGTGTGGTGGTGGAGTCGCGTACGATTTCTTGCACCAAAACGTGCGAGAAACTCTCTCCAAATAAATGGGCCTTTACGCTCTGCACTAATGGCACAAAACCTCGAAATACAATTATTGCTTTTGAAATTCTGTTTACAAGGACACAATAAATTTTCCATTGCGAGGCAATTGTCGCCAAAGTGGAAGAGAAAGAGGTGTGAATGTTTAGACGAAGAAACTTTTTGAAGTTATTGAAGTTATACTTCTTTAGGCGCGTTATGAAAAATTGATGAGAGTGAAATTTTACGATGCGCGCGCACTGTGACACAAAATTAACAGAATGAAGTTGCCAACGAAAGATGCTACGGCATTGGACATAATTTAAAAACAACATTCGCATAATAATAGAATTTATGTTACACTTAATGTAAGAGAATAATAATTATTTTTCAAATGTAAACTGAACTTTATTGACTATAATAACTCCTTTTCCAGTCTTTGATTGTTTAATTGTAATTAATTATTTGCATGCAATCAAAAACTATTTTTAATAATGCCAAAGAAGTTGAACTTTTTACGCGCGTACATAAGTACACGAACCCTTTTTTATATTCTTTCGATAATCGTAACTTCGAAACGAGAAACTCTCTCCATCTAAATGGGCCAATAAGCGCGCACGGTTTGTCTGTTGTCATCAGACTAGCAATGGCATTGGCTTAAAGGTCTCGTTGCCAGGCCATAAAATTTAAAAAAAATACTAGCAATAGCAAACAACAGAAAATGCGAAAAGAATGTACAGTCACGACTCACGACAAATGGAGCCAGTAAGGAAATGGCAAATGGCACTATGCTATAATAATATAGTCTGTGACCTGTGTTGGTAATTTTACGATAGCCGATTGTCTAGTTACTATCTATTAATAATTTTCAATTATTGAAATTTGAATATTGATAAAAGAAAATCCGGACGAATAGCATTCGTCAATCGTCATTCGTATTGTGATTGCTATCTGGTATGCATTCAGCATTAATCTTTTCAAATTTTAATAGAATTTAGAACATAAAACTTTTAATCTACTTATAAATTATAAAATTATACGCAGCTTAGACCCAGAATCCAGATAAACCGGCCGGGAATTATTGCTAAGACAAAAATTGACTTATTGACTAACTTGAAAGTTCGAATAAAGTGGGTAAGGATTTTTTATTTTTTGTACTCACGTCACTCGTCAAGGTTTTAATGAGTAATAGGTTTATCGATCCATTTCTTTGTTATATTATTTTAATTAGTTTTAAAACCTCTTTACGTTCCTGTAGTTAAATCTTATTGTTTTAATAATCTAAATCTTAAACTGCTAATCATATATACATATAGGTACATATAATAGTATGTGCCACTTTTCTGTTAATTATGGTCCTAAATATTCTTATTTTATAATATTATGATTTAGTTCCTTAAACTCCAATTTGATTGGTACTTAAGAAAGTCAAGCTTAATAATAATAACTTCTTTAGTATACTAATAATAAGTATGTAGTATAATGTTACATATTATAGGTATACATACATAGGCAACATTGATTATCATTAAATAAATCAGTCTAAAGCATATTTAATTTATTATCTAATGATCAATTAAGTAAATAATTAGGATTCCTAAATAAAATGGAATCCTTGTTTATAATACATTTAAAACTAAAGTAAACTTTTTGCAGAAAATGACTCAGTTGGCTGGTGAAAACTTAGGAAAGCGTCAAAAAGACCTTAATAAAAGAGTTTATGAAACTGTCAAGAAACAGGTAGATTTTGACAATTTAAAAGAGATTGAGGAAAGTTCTGATATTGAGAGGCTGTATAAAATTGATGTTGCTTCACAATATAAAAATAATGACTACATCTTAACAACTCTTAAATGTGGAGACAGTTTGTATGTTTCCAGGGCTATGAGGGCTGACTGGTTTTATAATGATGAGTTTTCACATGTGGTGAACCCTGACTATTTACATCATGAAGTCTTCCCTCATATGTCAATGAAAATGAAGACCAAACTTGTTAACAAAATTGCTTCAAAAATAAGAAATGAGTCCAGGGCAGCTGACTTTTATACATATTTTAATAATCTTAAAATGGATCATCTTGCACAAAAGTTTCTCTATTTCACATCAGAATCTTTTAAACTTGGCATTATCAACAGTAGTCATAGTTTGGTCAAAAATGATATCAATTTAAAGAATATTATAGGTAATTCATTTGTATTAGCAGAAGCATTTGTAGCAAAAATAGAGTTTGATTCAGTTAAAGAATATCACATAATGGAACTTTCATACTTATATTCAATAAATGAAGAGAAGTACTTGAACCTTCTTGAAAAAAATGTGACAACAAATTGTGGTAAATACTTTGGGGGTAGAATGTCGAAAAGTATTATTAAAAAACACAAAAATAGAATTCTGCAATTCCCAGGTCTGTACATACATAAACTTAATAAGTATATGTTGGTTCGTAATAGCACTAGTGATGATGCTAAAAAGTATTTAATTGCTATAATGCCAACTGAAATAAAAAAATTTTGGTTCAAAAACATTTATGGCACATACAAGTATCTTTTTGATTTGATTCCTAAAAATGATGTTTTTTCTTTCTTTAAAAACACATTTAACACTTTATTTGGAGATAAGCCATTTGAAATGACTCTTGACTTTTATGAGTTTCATTACTATGACCTATTTAATGAAGAAGATAGAGAGAAATGGGCTTTAAAACACATTGAAGAAGGAAAGGAGATACTTGGCACCAATCGAGATTATATTTGGTATAAGTTTGTAAATTATGATCAAGCATTTAATGCCATCAAGAAGTATATTCTTGTGACATCTGATGAGGATGCAAGGAATGAAATGGCAGTGACCTTAATATATTCCTGTAGAAATCAAAGAGATTTGGAAAAATTATTCAACTATTATTATGAAAGATTTGTCAATGAAAGTGGTCATCACAAAGAATATTTTGTTGAATCAGTTCTTAAAGCACATAATATTTTTAAATTTGACGAACCATGTTGGACAGCATTCAATAAAATTTTGTACAGTATGGAAGTTTATACTCCAGGATTTTTCGGAAAAAACAACTTTAGAGTTTTCTGTGTAATTTATAATATATTACACCAATTGGATATGCCAGAAGCATTGAAATATTATATGGATAATGAGATAGCTTGTAATTCCTTAAAGCGCCACTCAAAAAATTTATCATCAGAACAATGGCATACTGTTTACAACTATCTATGTGACTATTTATTGAAGAAATTTCAAATGCTTGAGAGTGATAATGATGAAGATATAAAAAATAAGAAGACAAGCTTGACCCACACATATTTGAATATTCTTGATTGTTTTGAAAAGACTAAAGATGATATACCAAAAGCAATTTTGGAATTTATAAATTCAAATATAAAAACATTTAAATTTATATCTTTACTAAAGATAGAAAACATAACAGAAGCATCACTTTTACGAATTCTAAAACAAGATAAAAATTTGTTAGTGCAAAAAGTACCACACATAAAAAAAGATTTAGAAAATCAAAGAATTAAGATAAATTCTTTACTAAAGAAAATTAAAGTTTACTTTCAGAATGATATAGATCAGGATTTCTTAAATTTTTTCAATGAACATTTAAAAAATAAACAAGAGTACCATGATTGGGTTACAAGACTAGCAATTTATGGTATTTTTGTATTGGGTGATGAGAAAGCTAAAACACAATTGCTGTCTAAATATGTTCCTAAAGAGCCTAAAATTGACCACAGCAAGATTGATAGAAAAGTGTTGGACATTCAAGAAGCAATTTGCCGTTTTGCTTGTTATTCACGGCCTCCAGTTCCTCTAAATCATATTTTGCAATATATTAAAGGAGATTATGTCCATTACTGCATACCTATGTTTAATGTGTATGCATCTAATTTACCATTGCCACAATCAATTGAGTTCATTGCTGCTATTTTAGATGCACCACTTTCTATACAAAAACATGGTATAAGATTGGCATTCAAAGCTTATGGCACTGAAGACTTAAAAACTCTAATAACAGGTATTTGGCACAAAACAAAAAATGTATCACTTAGACTTATTATTTACCAGGCTCTTGTAAGTAAAATTGAAGGAACCAATTATGTGATACAAGATGATTTATTTGAAACATTAAAATCATTTACTTTAACTTTACATGCTGATGACCAAGATAAAATTTATGATCTTATTGTATCACATAATATTCCTAAGCGATATGTAGGAAAATTGGTTGAAATTACTTGGTCTTCTGTTAGAAATCTATCACATAAAAAACAGAAAAACATACTAATTAAAAGTAAATTAATTAGTCATATAGATAAACACATTGACCTAGTAAATCGGGAGTTTTGTGCCAATATAATTGAAAAGCATGTTAAAGAAATGTTTTATGAAAAGAGGATGCAACAAAACTTTGATTGGAGTGAAGAGGCTTTAAATAAAGCTTTATGGAATTTAACCAGTAAATACCTAATTACATGCAAAAGTGATAATGACTTTATCACATCTCAGAAACTAGTGACAGAAATTTTAAAAGAGACTTTTAACCAATGGAACTTTGTTTCTGAAAGTAATTTTGTTTTCATAAAATTTTGTTATCAGTTTATTAATCAAATCAAAAGTATTAGTTCTGAAAGTGACCAAGAGGAAAATGTCTATGTTGTTCCATTAGTTAAACATATTGTGTCATTACTTGAAGGATTTTCTCCACATTCCGATGTATTTATATTAGTATTAAACTTGAAACTTTTTATAAATATAAGGAAAATTTTGCATGAGAAAATTTTGGGCATTGAACATGCTTCAGAATTGATTTTCAAGATGTTATCTAAATTTATATCTGATCTTGTTATCACAAATCACTTCATAACAAGCTTAAATGAAACATTTACCACATTGATAACTGACAATATTCATTACTTTGCATTGTCTATAAATGTTAATGAAAATATACTTAAGGCATATGTTTGCAATAAATTAATTACTAATTGTGATAAAGAGAGGGCCCTTATTGCATTGTCGCTGATGCCACTTTTGGATAATATAGATGAAACAGATAAAAAGGTTTATAAAAAAATATTTTCCGATTTTATAGAAAAAGTTAAAGCTGTTAATGATTTTGAAACACAATGTAACTATTTTTGTAAGTTTGTTAATCCTTAATTTTTTAAGAATATTTATAAAATATTCTATTTCTTCTTAGGTGTAAGTGTTTTTTCTTTTTTTATAAAATTATTTTTTTTTATTAATTAAGGTTTAATAAAGTATAAAAAATCAAAATGTTATTTATTGTTTATGTACTCTTTAATTAAGGTCTCCGTTACCAAACAAACGTCTTTTAAAAATAAATGTGACGTATAATGTTGTCGCTTTATATAATAAGATATACAACCTTAGACAGCATTTACTTATTGCTCAGCTAAAAAAGGATTTTAGTAGTAATTTTTAATATTACAAAATATTGTAACTAGCGCGCTAATTCTTTTAAACCAAAACAAACTAAGAGACCAGAAATCTCAATCTCGAATGTAAATTCAAATTGATTAGGCGCTAAAGTTCAAACTAGTATGTTGAATGTTGGCGTGGACAATGGACATCTCCATGAGGGATGAATGAGACAAAAAGTACAAGTCAATTGTCTGATTGTTTTAAAACGGCAACAGTACTAGCACAGATTATGCAGAGGTTATATTATTTGAGTACAGAGCAAGTACGTAATGGTTCATAGATATGTAAGTCTATGGGCTGTGTTAAGCACAGAACAGTGAACACATTACTTGTTGAGTAAGACAAAATCACAGAAAATATGACAGAAACAAATTAGTTTTACCTTGGGTATGGGGGAGTGGTGTCGTGTCTTATGAAAAGTTTTGAAATTCACACGTTTCTTCCCGAAACAAAATTTCGGTTTTAAATTTACGAATACTTTTGTGAAATAATTTTATAAAATATCGTACTGTGGAAAATATTGAATCAGAAATAGTTTGTTAAAATTATTATTCTCTTAAGAAAGTTTAAAAAATGACCCACAAAAAAGTTATATTATTTTGGATGGCCGCTGTTTTAATTAATAGAATTGGTAAGTTACTAAAGATTTAGGTATAGTTGAGAATTAATTTTACTTATCACGGCAAGGCGAGCTTGTCGCACATCCATAATATAGTAATAATTTTATTACTTCGATTTGCTCAGTTTAATAATCTTGTTTAGTAAGGTTAAGCATAATATTTTCATCGTAAAAAGCGGCTCCTGTAACCATTATTATAAATATTGCATCCGTTCACGGTCAATAAATGGTGATTGTTTTTATGTTTTATTGTTGTTTACTTGTTATCAGTAAAATCAAATGAGGTCGTGGTTTTTAAAATATGAGATAATAAACTGGTTATTTTTTATTTATATTCTTTTTTTACTTAAATGTCTTACTTTAATCTATAATATTGCGATAACGCTAAAGTAGAGACCTACTATTAAAACGACAGACCACGTTGAATCGACTTCGTTATTTAAAAGATTTCCATAAGGAATGTGATTTAATAATATTATGAATATTAGCTATCCAAGTCTAATTTTCCAGTATATTTGTGTGTAGATGGGATGTTTCAGGCGATTATCCAAACACCTTGACGGCTATTTTAATCTTATAGAATAGACTAGACTTTGTAAATACTGCAGTTATATTAACGTTATTTTTATTTAATATTTATATAAAATTGTTTGAAACTTAAATTCTGCTACCCTGTAAAATTATTCAATACATATATAAACAGCTGGGAAAATATTTCTTTTTAGTAAGTATTAAAGAGAACCGGAGTGGCGGTTATGCGATTTAATATAATTCTTATTTGCTACGAGTAATTCCATTTATTCACAAAAGTTATACACTTTTTCTCATACTAAGTATGAAGACGATTACTGTCTAACTACGTGTGTCCAACTGTCCACGACGGCATTTTTTCCGCACATACTACTAGTTTATGGATCAGCGTATAGAAACAAAAACAAATATATCTTAATATATATAAATTACGTGTCACGTTGTTTGTCCGCTATGGACTCCTATACTACTGAACCGATTTCAATCGAATTTTTCACACCGTGTGCGGTTTGATCTAACTTAAAAGATAGGATAGCTTACGGACAGTACAGTCTATCCCGTAAAGAGTCCACCGATTTAGTATAAGAATAGTCCCTATAGAAGGAAGATATAACATTCCAATAGATAATAAATATACATTTTCATTTGAGAACATACGTATCTATGAATGGTCACAATTGTCAGTATGAGGTTGGTAAAATTGTAGCATTGATAATAATTTATAGCCCACATGAGACCGGTACAATTCCGATATTTATCAGATATGCACCAAAATACTAATTTATTACAATGATTTTGTAATTTTGTGTTTTGTTACTTACGTTTCTTAACTTTATCATATGTAGTTGACAACCCGTTACGAGATTTTTATAGACAACATTTTTAACCCAGCTATGTAGTTTTCGAGTTTATTATTCGAATCTATTGTTAATTGACGTTTAATAATTGATAATGTTATAATAAATAAAAGTTAAATGAATATAAATCAACGCCCGCGACTCAAATAGCGACACCGATCCCGATATTTTTGTATAAAATTTCGATATGATTATCTCAATAGCGCTAATATCGCAACCTTGACGTCGTGCGGATGAAAAGCGCCATATTGATATGGGCATCGTTGGTGGACTGAATCGTCTGTTTGTTTACAGATTACGGGTACACAGATTTCGTCGAACGAAAATAGCATAAGGCCGTAAAGAATCCGCAATATCTGTTTATTTTAATGTACTAACGTAAACAAAAGCGCTAAAGTTACATAAAATCATATGGATAAGATAAAATAAGAGAGATGTCACACCTTACAAGTCCTGTCTAAGCGAAGCGAGAAAAGGTAAAAAAGTGACCCAATCTGATGAGGGAAATGACAAATGACTGTGCACGCGGGAACATCAGTGATGGTCGATTTGCTTCGCGATCATTTCTAGTTTCCTCTATTCACTCGGGAATATCTATTCAGATAACAATTTGATATATTATCATTCGCAGTTCTTGCTATAGAGAAAGATAAGACATGATTCTCGATTCCGGGTTTTTATTATTTATTTTTTTGGCTCGATTTCAAGGTGAATATGCGCGATCAACATGTAACTATCCTAACGACGCAGTTCAGTTTGTAAATAAACTACTGGAAATGTTTTTATAGAATGAATCTTCTACAATTTTATTGATACGATTCGAAACACTGAAAAATCAAAGTATACTTGTATGATCTCTCGAGGCAGGAGCAAAAATTAATTAATTTTAAATTACTACTTGTACTTATATAAAACTAGCAGACCGGCCAAGCGTTGCTGTGGCTAAGGTTTTTGTTATATTACATAGTAGTAAACTATTCAAGAGAAACGGTAGGAGAACACCAGTCATGGGGACCACTATGCTTTATTGGTGGTTATGCCATTAAATTGTAGCTTATGTGAAACATTGGTACTTTCAACACAGCGCCATCTGTTAGAATTGTGACTATTAAATAATAAACAAATATTTTGCAATAAAATAATATTGCGGGTATAAATTGAGATGTAAGCTATCCTATTAAGTTAGATCAAACTGCACACGGTATGCAAATTTAATTGATATCGGTTCAGTAGTTTAGGAGTCCATAGCGGACAAACAACGTGACACGTAATTTATATATATTAAGATTAAGGTCTACAAAAAATAATGACTGTAGTTCATATAACTATATTTTGGTAAACATAAAAGAGAAGACATTAAACGTTTTAGAATTTTTAAAACAACCATAGAATTAAATGCTTAATTTTTGAGAGTGTAATTTAAAACTTAGTATGTATCGCACATGATACCACACGTAGCTAGCCGCTGGCTTATCCCCAATTTATTATTCTCATTTGACTTTTAATGCTTGTTGTGGCTGGATAATCCGTACATATTATGTTAATACTGAATTACTGTTAATATTGCTAACAATTACTGCAATTAACGCCATTCGCCACGTAATCCCGAGATAAAATCTCGGCATTATTCTAATTATGGTTTCATACGTTTTCATTTCTACACCTGTACGCTAAAGAAGGCACTTTGTATTTAGATGTATTACAGCGATGTATTAATAGATAACGCGTCATTTGTTTTCTTGATAAACAACTCCCAATTTAAATTAGCGTGACACAACTGCACCAGTAATGAAAAGGTCAAACAACAATCTACAGCATTAATTGCAAGGGAAATAGATTTCCTATGGTATCAGATGGACTTAATTGATTGCGTATACAGATGTTCCTCAAATTGGTCTTCATATATCGGTTGATGTTCGATACACACATTCAAAGCATCGTACGATGTGAACAACCAATGGAGTGGTGCCACGTGGGGCTCGGCACCCCACCACCATTGGAATGCATCAGGTTAGAATGGCACCGGTAAAAATAAACTCGTTCAACTAGTCAACGAGGCACACACGTTTCGAGGCCATTATCAAGAATCAGTTATCTAGATAAGTGAAAGGACACTACCGGTATCTTGCCTTGTAAACATATAGTACTCATGATTTACGAATTTTGAGAATTTCGCGTAGTTAATAGAGGACGATTTTCTGTTTAACGACTGCTATGCATTCCATATTAGGTTTCGCAATGTGTTATACAGTTTAAGTAACTAGTTTGTGATGACAAAATACGCTTACGGTAAAATTCCGTTCAATGAAGATTGTAGAATTTTTCCAATCGTTCTTAGGAAAAATTGCGTCTTTGCGTGGGTGGGATCAGTAGGCAAACGTTTCTATGTTCTAAACAAATGTTTGGTCATGTGTAGATGGTAAATACAATAATATCATAGATAGTTTTAGTATCCATGTATGATATTTATGGACTGACAATTTACATCATGCCATTATACGAGTATATGAATTAAAAATTATGCATATATTATAATCGTAATTAATTGGTTTGCATAGTAAATTTAAATAAAATATTTTCACGTTATGTAGACGTGTTGAAGTTCCGGGATTTTATTATAATGTAACAATTATTTTCTTAAATATCATGTATATGCAAAAACATCTACCATTTTGATATTTCATTGCGCAAGCTGAAGCATATCATATTTATGTATATCACCCCTAGATTAATTGATTGAAATTTTATAATTAAAAAAGTATAATAAGCGTCAAATTAAGAGTTTATTTGTAAAACTTTTATATACATTCTATAGTGTAGATTTTCTACTACTCTAAAAACGATCCACAGAATACTGTTTTTATACGTACAAACTAACTATTGTCCCATTTTATATTTCCAATTTTAGTTTAATTATGGGGCTTTCGGGCCTGTCAGTGGTTAGACCATTGTTTTCCAACCTTTTTTTTTTCAGCAATTCCACCCACCTTAGCCTATTTAAAATTCTTATGCCTTTAAAAAATATATTATACTTTATACATTTAAAAAATAATTGTTCACTTAAGAAAGCTAAATTAAGGTTCAAGGATGAAATCACTAGGAAATTGTTAACGAAACAATAAGTAAAGTTTCAAAACAATGAAAAATTGGAAATCAAATTCCAAATATTTTTTTTTAAAGACACCAATTGACCTAGTCCCATGCTAAGCTGGTGAAACTTGTGTTATGGATACTAGGCAACGGATATACATACATATTATAGATGTATGTATATCCGTTGCCTAGACATATAAATACATATTTAAACACCCAAGACCTAAGCACAACACCAAATGCTCATCACATCGATGTTCGCCTCAGCAGGGGATCAAACCCGGGACCCATGGATTCGTAGTCAGGGGTACTAACCACTAGACCAATAAGTCGTCAAATAAAGATTTAATAAAGATTTTTATATACATAGTAATTTTGTGAGATCCTTGCGCTTGATGCTTGCTGCACAGTGATTTTATATTAGGTTCCAATTTGGTTAGCTTCAGTCTGAAGTCTCCACGTTGTTAAATCCAGCTTATTTCGATTGCCCCTCTTAACAATAATTGCCCCCCCTGTGGGGCGTGATCCCCACGTTGGGAAACACTTACTTAGACAGACTGGGTTAGAGGACCTTCCTCCACAAATATGATTAAAGTAGCTACCATAGTACGGCAGATTTTTTTTTGGAATGGAATCTAGCAGTTGGCCTTTAAGGGCCTTTACAGCTCAGCTCGGGCTGTTTTGGCGAGCGTAGCTCGGCCTGAATGGGCGTTTTTCCCGCGACTAGCGCAAGGGCGTCTCCTGTGAGACTCGAACCTCGGCTTGGGCCGTCGCGGGGTGGTCAATCACCTGAAGGGCAGGACTGAAGCTCACTGGAGAGAGCGAAGTACGAAGTAAAGGTCCTCGCCTTCCCCGGTGAAGGCGGTTTTTTACCCTAATCTGATTTTTGTTTTTATTATTTTTGGCGGGTGGAGAACGGTAGATTTTGTCCAACTATACTATATAAATTTTTTTTTCATTGTTACAGAGGCTTTGAAAGAACATTGCAACAAACAAGAGGATTTACTCCAGAGGTGTTCGATGGCGCTGCCGGTACTTAGCTCCCCGGAAATATCCTTCGCTCTCACAAGAGAAGAACTGGACAAAAGTTGCATGTGAGTAAAGTACTTCCGACAGTTTCGTAAAGGATTCAATTTTTCTTTATCACCAACTTATAGATTATTAAAAATTTGCCAAATTGTATTCGTAATTTGTTTTCGCGCTTCCGATTATAATCTAAGAAAGTAATTCTTATGCTACAAAATTAAATTACATTTAGAAACTAAAGTTAAATAATATTGAGTCACGAGTGAGAGAAGTGCAAACTGTATTATGTACCTATCTACACATATTGAGATAAATAATTTAGATACATAATGGTCTGTATTCTGGAGGATTATAATTCGTATTTTTGTAATTGTAGATTTTAAGCTCTCTTCTGTAAAAAACAGCTAAAAAAATCTAGTTAGAATTGCATGTATCAAACAGTTTCACAGAAACAAAAAGAATAAATAAATACAAACATGACAGCAGAACGACAAGATTTCACATAAGATGAAGTATTCAAGCAAAGAGCATGCCATTTCTTACAAGGCCGGCAACATACTTGCGAGCCTCCTGGCAATGTGAGTCCATGGGCGGGGTGGTATCACTCACATAAGGTGAGCCTTCTGCCCATTTGCCTCCTATTAAATAAAAAAATAAAAAATGGTATATTTTTAAAATTAATTTCCCTAAGAAAGGATAATAAAAAAAACAGCAGTGCTACTATCTTTTTAGGACTGGGTTTCTGTATCAACCTTCTGTGCCCGTTTGTTAGTGTCTAAGACATGCCGGTTTTCTCACGATATTTGTCTTCCGTCCATGAGGGTCGTACGCTGAAGCCACTAGGCCAACACTGCATAGGATGAATGTTGTAATTTATAATGAAAAACGATATTAAAAAAAGTTCAGTAATTGTTAAAGTTATACTTCATCGTTTCATAGTTTACACTTCATAACTTAATTTAGCCTTTTGCACTTTGGTACCAAGGGAAAATTTACGGCTCACTCATTTAAGTGAAGTTCGTGTAGAATAAGTTTCCCAAGATGCCGTCAGCGCCAGCTAACTTCCAGCAAAACGGTCCGCGGTACGCAGTTAGCTCATCTTAATTTGCTGTTCTTGTTTGCGGTAAACAGCAATTTAGAATAGTCGTCCTTCAACTTTAGATTCCACTTGATTGGGCGGTTGAATGGTCAGAATTTGTTTGGAGAGTGGATTTTAATATTAAATTAAATGTTTGATTTTATCAGTGTCCATTCATCTTTATATTAAAGACTTAATTGCTTTTGTAATTATAAATTATAAATCAGCAGAGAAGTGTTTGCCTAGTGGCTTCAGCGTGCGACTCTCATCCCGAGGTCGTAGGTTCGATTCCCGGCTATGCACCAACGGACTTTCTATGTGCGCTTTTAACATTCGCTCGAACGGTGAAGGAAAACATCGTGAGGAAACTTGCCTTAGACCCAAAAAGTCAACGGCGTGCGTCAGGCACAGAAGGCTGATCACCTACTTGCCTATTAGATTACCAAATGATCATGAAACAGCAATCTGAGGCCTAGACCTAAAAAGCTTGTAGCGCCATTGATTTATTTATTTTATTTGTAATTATAAATGCGTTTAATATTTTCAGTAGATAATCGCGCGTAATCTCGATAAAGTGTTTAATGGGACTCTGTTCGTAAAGTTAATATTAAGTGAATTACCCCGGATTACTTTTATATTTTTGTATATATCAGTAACGTTGTTCTTTCATTTTGTATATTATTCAAGTAAATTATTTGTTCATTATATTATAAGCATCAGATATACTCGTACAGTCTGGCATGATTTATTTATTCACACTTCAATGCACAACACAAAATCTTTTTAAATTATTTAACTTTTAAGAAGATTTACAATAACTAAATTACAGTCAAAACCGGTTATAACGACATCGAAGGGACCGTATAGTTGCCGACGTTATATCCGATAGTCGTTATAAGCAATGTCATATATTATATATACACAAGTATAGTTCATATGTATGTACAATACATACAAGTTATATTATCATAGTTATCTATCTAGAATAGGTAGGTATGGGATATAATATGGTATGTTAATATTATATATGTAAACGAGTCAAAAAAGAAACAAAAATATTTATTACGAAATAATTAGGTACAAAAGTAATCGGTCTCAAGGTATGAGTATCACGAGTATCAAACTGTTCGTTAAAGGCAACAAATTTTTGCAAAATCGTTACAGCGTTAAGAGCCTCGGAAATCGTTGTTGGCTGAAACTGTTCGTTGGGAGAAAGTGCGTAGGTAATAATATGCCTAAATATTCATTCAACGCCTCTAAATAATATTTAAAATCGTTTGTATTGTTTTGTTTTGCTGAGACAAGAAGCGGTTGGTCGTTATAGCCGATGAATATCGATAAAATTTCGTCGTTGTAAGCGATATGTCGCTGTATCCGATGTTGTTATAAGCGGTTTGTTTACTGAATAGTTTACTAGGGATTCGGACGGGACCGTACAATCTGGTTGTAATAACCGATAGGTCGTTGTAAACGATGTCGTTATAAACGGTTTTGACTGTATGTATTAAATACAAATAACTTTGTACGCCAATGAAAAAGGCTTTACGTATAAACAAGTACTTAAAAAGGTTGATTGGTACAAACCAAATCATTTTAATCTAGACTAAATGGTATAACAAAATAAATTAGTTAATGAACTCTAAGGGCAGTAAACTTATGTTACAATATTTGTTTCTGAAGAATTCGGATGCCAGAGCGCTTGCCGACATATTTGTGGCGAACATAATATCAACAGTAAAATTTTCAAACTTATTCTCTGCCCTAACCATAAAGCTGTTCCTTATGTATGTGTTGAGTCTGTTGACTTCAGAAGTATACAATAGGTTCATGTTTACAGCGTTCTATTGTATACACAAAGAAATACATTACTTAGCAACTCAGGACAGTCTATTTTATTTGAGCCAAATTAATTAAATATGTAACATCTCCTATTTCACGTCTGACTGAGAGTGGAAGAATGTGGAAATGCTTGATAAGTGGTCAGGTAGGAAGGTCTTAGCTTTATACTGGAGATGTCTGATAAATTTCTTTTGTATGAGTTCTATACGATTGCTATAGTAAATCCATATTGGGAGTTACATACTTGTGAAGCATACTCTACGTTGTACTAACATAGGCAAAGTACAGAACGTTCAGTTTTGACTTCGGTGATGTTTGTCGACGCCCTTAAGACTAATCATAACATTTTATAAGCATTGCGAACAATGCTATAAATATAAGGGTCAAATAAAAAAGGCCGACAACGCACTCGCGAGCCCTCTGGCATTGAGAGTGTGCATGGGCGGCGGTATCACTTTACATCTTTAAGTTTTATAAAAAGAAATAAAAGTTTGTTATATGTAATTACCTTAACATTATGTAATACAGAATTTTTAAGTTAATAGGTTTGTATAAATTGTACATTAACAAAAAATTAAATTAAAAGAAAGAGCGCAACGGGCGGCCTTTTCAGCAATAAGTGATTTCTTCCAGCATCATATTAACAATAGCTTATGTTAAATTATTTTTTGTTCCTGTTGTTGATCAGGTTAGAAGTTGTTGCTTTCCAATTGGCTGCCGTGAAATGTGTGGGAAATTAAGATGATAATTAGTAAGACTGATAGTCTTAGAGGATTCTGATAAAAGATATTATGCCATTAGTGTTTACAGTATCTACTGTAAATACGTTCCGTTTCGAATAACTGCAGTCATCTGACTGAATACGGAATATCAAAGAATACAAGTGAAATTCCGTGAACATTGCCCTGTGATGTTGTCCTGAAGTTGACTGAGTATCTTGAAGAACCCTTGTCTTTATGCGGTCAGAAAACTGAAACGTACAAAAACATAAGATTTTATTGTAATATATAAAAATTTCTAAGTAAAATTTTTCAAACGCATTTAAGCGCGTCTTTTATAACGTTATATTATATTTTTTATCTACAGAAACCGTAGGTCCATGAGAGTAATCGTATTGAGCAAGTATTTGAAGTTATGCTTCTTTTGGCGCGTTTGGAAAACATGATGAGTAAATTTTTACGAAGCGCGCACACCGTCACAAAAAACCGACACCCTGAAGTTAGCTATAGTCATCAGTTTAGTTTTTTCTACAAACGTAGAATAAAATTTTTGAAAAGATTTTTTATCTTGTTACGCCAAAGAAGTATAACTTCTAACGCGTGTACATAAGTACACACCCTTTTTTTATATAACGGGATAAACGGGCAGGAGGCTCACCTGATTTTAAGTGTTAACACCGCCCATAGACACACACCACATCACATTACCAGGGGGCTCGAAGGGCGTTGCCGGAATTTTAATATATAGTGTTACCCAGTGTGGGTATTTCTGAACTATAAGGCCACGTTCACACGGCGACCATTCGATTCGATTTTTTCACGTATACGGTTTTACCGTATACGATGCAATCGTTCACACGGCAACCATTCGATTCGATTTTTTTTTTGATCAAGGAAATAAAATCCTCGATCAATATTGGAATTCTGTCCCCCATATTGACAATCGACTGATGCAACGCACAAGGGCAACTGCGGGCCACGCGTGCGAGTGCGTACGATTCTCGAATGGGCGAGTCGTGTGAATGAGACAACATGAACAAAAGCGCCACTGCGTGTCGTATTCGATAAAATCGTTTTGAGACGCGGCGTTTCCGGTGACAACTTCGCACGGTATACGGTCAAATATATTTCTCGAACACGGGATTTTCCCGTATGAACGCCGTGTAAACAATTTTTAAGTTTTCATATATATTCTGTTGTCACTACTCTATTCGATAAAATCTCGTATACGGTATACGGGAAAATAATCGCCGTGTGAACGTGGCCTAAGTTGTTCAATTCTTAAGTTTTCTCATTAGTCTTTTTTATTCAGCCACGAATTGAATTGACAAAAAGCCTTCCAATGTTACCAGGAAACTTTGAAGAAAGATAAATTTCGCATACTAACTAATGCAGTTTCAAAGTTTGTTCCTTTCTTGACTGTGAAAATTAACTGGCCGAGTGAATCATTGTGTAAACTTTCTAGAGATACTTTTCAGAAATATTAAAGGTTTTTTATTGATTTTTTGTTTTCGTACTTCTAATTAATGAGCTTGATTACTAGAGATGACGCTTGGAAGCAGTTTATATTATGTAGGTTAGGAATTTAGTTTATATTTAAATTTACATAAATAAGCCGAGTAAAACTGTGTTAATGAATTAAATTATGATAATTAACGCGTTTACTGTTAGATGTTGATGACGTAGGAGAGTATTTATTAAGAAAATCATTTATACAATTTGTGTCGGGCAATATCGTATCTGAAATGTCGTACTGGGACTAATGCGTCCGTTTTGTTGATCATGATTTGCAATTAATAAGTATATAATCAGCTTTTACTGCCTTCTAATAATTCGGTATTCGCCAAATTATAGTTAAAACTCGAACTAATTTTCTCTGTCAAATGGTATATTGTATGAATACTAGATAAAATCCTTCTAAAACAACGTGTATGCATAAAAAATATAAAGACTTATTTCCTTATATTTCACAACACAAATTTAACACACATTTACATACACATAAATTATATTAGAACATAAACAATCTATCAAGGGAAAAATGAAACATTAAACCACAAAACAACTAAAAATTTATAATAACTAAAACTAAAAAGATAAAAAATAACAATAATAACCAAAACTAAATGAAAACTTAAACCTTATTAAGAGCATGATAAATAAAGTTACGGTAAGTTGGCAGACTGTTGTAAAATACATCAAAGGTAGTATTACATCAGAAGTTATTTGTTATAGAGAACTTCGAGCGGGAATCAAATGTATAGACAACTACACAGAAGTTTGTATGGAGAAGAGCGAACAAGTCCTGTTTAGGCGGATGTACGCCGGGATAACTGATGTGGTCCAAGAGCTTTGTACACGCGGCACATATCAGGATGAGTACCTGAGACATGCTGATTGCGTGAAGAAGGTTCGACCGGAGTATGAAACGTGTAGCAAGAACTATGAGGTGACTTTGACGTCACTCGGCAACCACCCGGAGAGGGACCAATATGAGACAGATAGTGGAAGCCACGAGGACCTGCGAACTATGTGCTGGTAAGAGAATTTTGTAATTATTGATTTTTATAAGCAGTTAATTTGCGTGCATTTTTATTAAATTAATTTTTGGTTAAAGAGAACACCAGAAACCACCACCACAGCCACAACAAAGGGCTACACCACAGAATTTTTTTTAAAATTCCTTATTAACTAGATTACGTAGGGACCTCGAAAAAAGTGCGGAAAATGATATTTTATAACCCAAAGTTGACCGACGTGGTCGGCTGGCACACACATACTTACGCACTATATCAGTGTTTCCCAACCTTTTATGTGCCATGCCCCTCTATAGCCTACCTAAAATTCTTATGTCCCCCTTGTAAAATACATAATTTATTAAAAAAATAAATTGTTCACTTACGAAATTTAAATGATAGGTTTTTTTTTTTAGGAAGAAATCACTAGGAAATTGTTAACGAAACAATAAGTTAATTTTCAAAACATAATGAAAATATTCAAATTACAAATAATTTTAATAAAGATTTTTCTTGCACTTGATGCTTTTGGACTAGATCACTTTATTTGCACAGAGATTTTATATTGGGTTCCACTTTGGTTAGCTTCAGTCTCAAGTCTCCACGTTGTGTTATACCAAGCTGATTTCGATTGCCCCCTTAACAATTAAATTGCCCCTTGTGGGGCGGGGGCCCCACGTTGGGAAACACTGCACTTTAATGCGTAAATGAACAGTGTCAATAGATATTAGCCGCCGATAAATTGGACTGGAGCACTTTATTTGCACAGAGATTTTATATTAGGTTCCACTTTAGTTAGCTTCAGTCTCAAGTCTCCACGTTGTGTTATACCAAGCTGATTTCGATTGCCCCCTTAACAATCAAATTGCCCCTTGTGGGGCGGGGGCCCCACGTTGGGAAACACTGCACTTTAATGCGTAAATGAACAGTGTCAATAGATATTAGCCGCCGATAAATTGGACTGGAGCACTTTATTTGATTTTTGCTAATTTGAAAGAATTGATCAATAATAAATTAATTTTCATACAATTTTATATTTGATCTTAAAGTCCTTTGTTTCCTTAAATACCTTTCAAATGGTGAAATAATTATTACAATAATTAGTTATTGATACAACGTCTGATTGTGGCTAAAGTACTTGACCTTTTGAACAATTTAAGGTTTCTTCGCGTTTAATGAAGCCACTCAATCTAAGTTTTCAAAAGCTGTCAAGAAATGGAATTTATCGCTACTCAAACGAGTCCTAGAGAATTAATTACTACTTAGACATTAGAAACTTTACCTCACCACGATTTTGATAATAAATTTTCAAACTTTATATTATACAAGATCTGATTTAATTCTGTTATGTCTTACGTTCAAGTTTCTTTACAGTATATATTATATTTGAATTTTTAGTAGTATTTTATAATTATAAAGAACATTTTCAAGGATGTCCCTCAGACATCATATTTTCTTTTTTATTAAAAGCCTATTTTATTTTGTTACATGTTTAAATAATTAAATTTATAAACCCGAGTTAACACGAAATACATAAAGAAGTCTGACCGATTTTTCAGTCTATGAAGTATGATTGTTTAATCACGTGATACTAGCGACACACTTGCATATATTAAACATTACTACCCAGTAAGAATCTCTTAGGTCGTTGTCGTTTCACAACTGGTCGTTTCATTAGGCAGTTTTTACCGGGCACTACCACTATGTGGAACCAGTGCGCCCATTGAAGTATTTCCTAATCAAGTCGACTTCGGGTCCTTCAAGAAAAGAGCGTACCAATTCTTGCGACGGTATCACTATCATTAACTCCTGCCCGTTTTCCCCCCTGTGATATAAAAAAGGTGACTATAATACTTGAAAAAATATTAAATTAAAAAAAAAATCCTAAACGACATATTTAGTATTCTAATTGAATACTCGAGATTTGGGAGCCACTTAACGATTAACGGTTTGTTGCTATTTATCAGTCACGTTCGGTGTGAAAAAATGTTTGAATATTTTAAAGCTAGCTTCTATAAAGTCATTCAGCCAATATCACCGGACTTATACATCGCTGACCGTGCGTCGACACAATGAAAAGATAAACAAAAACAAAACTATTTCCGTTGAAAATTGCAGTGCGAATTGTTTGAACGAACTGTGAACTTTTAAACCCCCTTAATTGAAAAGTGAATAGATATTCTTTCAAAATAAAATATATAAAAGCTACGGTAAATTTGTCGAATCACGGCTCCATATTTTTTCTACATATTTTCATCACGCGGCAATGGTGTATGATGCAATAATGTGGTGGCGCATGCTCTTTAACCCCATAGAAATTAATTAATCAATAAAAACATCATGATTTGTGAAATGAATGAAAGAAGGTACAAATTTTGGCTTTAACCTAACCTAACCTGATCATAAACGCCACTTAGAATAAAAAAAAACCTAACCTAACGTAATTCACTGGAACCCACTGGGAACTGAGACAAAAAAATGTACACTTAGTCAAAAAATCATAATAATAAAGCCCGTTTAATTTCCAAATCATGACAAAAATGATATATTCACCTCAAAAAAGAAATACATATTAAATGCTTCTAATTTTACATTTACTGCCAGTTCTCAAATCTAGGGCCATTCTTTTTAATCGCCAAGTTTTTTGTTTTACACAATGTTTGTCAGGAGCCGCAACCATTACACCAAGTTCCACATGATTTCTGAAAGCCATCCGTAATATTACTTGGGGTACTTCATACAAGTCGTAAAAAACGATAGAAAAAAATTTGGAGCTGTTTTAAGGTGGAGCCGTGTTTCGACAAATTCGCCGATCCTTCTAAATAGAAGCTCATTATGAGGGCTGAGAAACAATTTACGCAATAAAAAATGTCACATAGCATTTGCCTTCGTTTCATTATGTAATGCATTTTAGTCTGACTGAGTCAAGTATTGGGCCAGGTCTTTCTTTCTAAATACCTAGGGTGAAGACAATGTAGCTTGCGAAGGCGATTCAATCCCACTTTTCTCTAGGGTAAGATTCGAAACTTTGAGGTAAAGCGGGCCATAGACAGACCGCATGTTGCAGCCGATACCGACTGCTCTAAGCGGTCGCCGCACGGCGATCTGCAGTTTCCATACTAAATTCATATTCGCAATACACGGACCGCACGAGCAGTTCCTGAGTAAACCGCATATTGCAGTCGGTATTGACTGCAACATGCGGTCCGTCTATGGCCCGCTTAAGAATTTTCGATTTTAATCAGATACTTGTTGCCGACTGACTACTACCTGACTAAACAATAGTCATAGTGTTTGCTTGAATCTTGTTTTAGAATTAGTGCCACCGATTCCCAATTCATTTCATTCCAACATATGCAAAATGTATTGATTATTATTTAATCTGATTGATTTAAGGTGATTCTTTTTAATGTTTTTTCTATTCCGTGGTTTGACAAACTCAACTCTTTGCAGTTGTGGGTTTATCCGGAGTAAACACAGACTACTGGTTCGTAAAAGCTACCTTGAAAAATTGTCTAAATAACTATAGGGAAACCGAGTTATTTTAATTACGAATTTCTGCATCGGTTTAAAAATAAACAACGATTAATCCTGTTCAAAATAAAACACAGACGGCTAAATTATTTGCGGTGTATGTATTCATAACCAATTACACATTCCAGTTCGTTCCAAGAATACCTCCAGTGTTCCGAGCGGACGGTTCAGAGGTCGTGTGGAGACGATGCTGCCTTGTTCACCAGCGCATTCCTCAAGAGAATGGCATCTAATATCATAAAGGTATTAAGATTAGCAAACATAAGGCTGCTAAAATTTATAGTAACATTATTATTAGTGTAATTCTTATATTTGTCTATTGAGTTTTAGACTGTTTTTGTGTTGACAATTGACACCCAAAAGTAAGACGGAATTGTTGACGTGTAATACACAAGTGTATTTTCTTCACAGTTTATTACTATATTTTTGTCTTAGATTATTATAATTTTTTTCTGATATTTTGCGTTTATAATATAGTGACCATACAACACTTTTTTGTTATTATTTAATGTAATTACATGCGATCATTGGGAAGGATTTAAATTAAATTGGAGTACAAAAAGACTTGGTTTTTAGGTGACTTAAAAATTGACATTAAAGATTAATTTAAAGTAACGTAAAGATTCTTGCCAGTTCTCGCCCGCTTGACGCTCTTGATTTGAGAACTGGTTAAGATCTTCCTTATTAAATATTGACGTTCATAACTGTATACAGCAATATGAATTAATAAACGTCCACAAATCAATCGAGTAAATGTTTTTTTTGGCTCAAAATTTGCTCTATTTTCGCAGAGCTTCTGTCTGGAATATCGCGGGCAAGAGTGCGGTCTAACGGACAGCGGAACGTCAAACCAGCTCAGCCTAGTTCTACTCAGTGTAACAATGATATTTCCCTTCGTGTCGGCGCTTGTGCCTGCGTAATGCAATCGTCGTACACACGGAATTGAATTTTTAATTACTAACTTAGTAATTAGTGAAGAACTTCGAGTTGATGCATTCACTGAAGTGTAAACAATTTATGGATGGTGAAACTTCGCCTTTTTGCGAAGTAAGCGATGTAGTTCATGTTACCTGGTAATTATAAGTTATTAGATAAATGTATTTTCAGTCTCAAGAACTCGTATGAAACTTTGATACTTATGCAAGGTACTTTTAAAAATCCATACAATAATGATCACCATAGCTAAATCGTCTGACATGAATACTATTCAATTGGTGTATGATCGTTTGTTTACTACCAAATTACGTTGATGGAGTTCTGTTATTTTTTACAAATATTCTTAATTCGTCTACATTATAATTCATTATAATTACAATTAAAATCTTGAATCTCATTTCCTATTATTTGCCGGAATTTGAACCTATTTATATACCTAGTTCAGGCAGCATATAATGTCAAAAACAAAAATTTCAGACAATTAGTACACTTGTTAGTCCATTTAGAATGTTTCTAAATTAATTAATTAATTCACTTAAAATATCATATTATTTGATATTTAAGGTTGGTAGACATATATCGTAGGCCAAAGACTGCGAATAGAATTCGTGAAACTTAAAAAAGGCATTTAGTTAAGTATAATAATGTATAGTATTGTTCCTAGTATTGTAATATATGTAGCTATTATTTGTGTATAGGCGTATTTTAAAATAGTAAATTTCATGAAGACTTTGTATCTCAAGGTTTCTAGTACAGTCCTTAATCATCCCCTAGAGTTCTCATATCACCCAATTGCTTACTAATCTATCGAAAACTTACATGTATATTTTGTTGTGAATAAAATTTACTATATTTTTAAGTTCTCCCGCAAATGGCTCTTCTAATAGTACTTTAGCAATCTAGCCTAGTGATGTGCCGAGAGTTATAAGAAATTATTTAAAAGTTATCTTTTGATTCTGATGAAATTCTAGGTACTTAAATTATTATATTAATAAAATAAAATATATTACGCATATCAATTAAATCTTACGTCAATGTAACGATCTTTCATTACTGTAATAATTGTAATATTAAATATTAGTTATTAAACATTTTAATAACAAATAAATTTTAATTTATATTTATTTAAATTATTATAAGTATTAAAATGCGTTTTTCAATCACATTTCATGATAACCATGCATCATTACGACATGTTAAAATCGTAAATATTTGTGTTAATAGCTTTTAGAATAAACGTTATACCTTGGTTGGTTTATTTAAATATTTGTTATTATGCATATATGTCAGCTCAGAACTTCCTGTGATAGTTTAATGAAATTATAGTTTAAATGATTATTATTATTTCCTATTAAAATATATGAATAACTTTTGTATGTGTTTTTTTTATAGTTAATTTAGCGATAATTTTTGTGACTAGCTAAGGGTCACCTACGGTGGTAAAGTTTGGTTTTCGTACAAATGTAGGAATGAAACCACCAAAACCTTCCAAGAAGTTGCTACTGAAAAGTAAAATTAAATAAATTGTTCTTTGTGACAGTGTTGGCCTAGTGGCTTCAGCATGCAACTCTTATCCCTGAAGTCATAGGTTCGAATCCGCGTTGGGCACCAATGAACTTTCTATCTTAACATCGTGAGGAAACCGGTATCCCTTAGACCCAAAAGTCGAAGGCTGATCACCTACTTGTCTATTAGAAAAACAAATGATTACGCAATACACAGAAATCTGAGGCCCAGACTTAGGCTGTAGTGCCACTGGTTTCTTTTTCTTTGTGGCAATTGCGTCACAAATGTCAGTACATTATTTTTTCAGTGAGAAAAAAATATTGACTTATTGTCCTAGTTCTTAGAGCCCCTAAGAGGAGACCGCGGCCACAACTGAGTGTCGCCAGGTTTAAGAACGTCTAGTGTAGTGCCTAGTAGTTTGGGGATTTGATTGGGTTTAAAGTTTAAACAGTGTATTCGATCTTTGTCCATTTGCGTCGTTAGATCTCGTGGCGGTTCCCATCTCCGTTCCTGGAGTTGTTAATAGAAATCTTTTTAGGCCAGTACATTTTTTAAGTTGAAATGTTCAATAAAAAATTAAAAAGTTCGCGTTTCGTAAAAACCTGAAAAGGCAGTGTCTCTAAATATGTCTTCTCAAAAATACTGGAATCGTCGAGTTATATAAATTCTCGTCAATTAATTATCGTTAGTGTTCAATAAAGCTGAACCCGTCAAATAGCACGCTCGCAGTACCTTTATCTACCCTTGTATGCTTGTTAATGGTGTTAACTTTATCTACAAATTCTTTATTTAAAATTTGTGTAACTCGATATTTGTGATCACAAAAAATTAAGTATTAGTAAAGTGATTGGTAGTAGATAACATGGTTTTGTATCGCAAATAATGAGGACCCTGAGTGAGGTCACGCGTTCGATTTACGCCTGTAGATATTCATTGCGCAATTAATAATATAATTGTTAATTAACTAGTATTGAAACAAATTCTTTGTCAGTAATCTGTCACGGAAGCCCTTGTCATTTTATAATAATAAGTAAATAATTTATTTATTTAAAGAATAAAATTATAAATAAATTATATACAACTTTAAACTACGAACAAATTATAATTCTATTTGAAAATAGAATCTTCTTCCATTAATCATTCTCAGACTTCCCAAGATACAGGTCTCGTAATTTAAATCGATTCGATTACTCGAAATCTATAGATAAATCAGTATCAAGTAATGAAAGACTCTTGTACTCAATCGCAGAGTACTCGCTAAATGACTGGAGACTTGCATAAGAACAGTTCAATCTAAAAAGAATTCACCTTTTCTAGAGAAATTAATTCAAACGAACAAAAGTTTAAGATCTTTTTCATAATCATCGTCTACTTGTTAAGTCCGGAGCGTAAAGCATAAGACTTTCAACTTTCATTATATTGTAATTTTTCTTTTCGGTTTTTAAGAATTTCTTTAAGAACCAATTATTGATATATTCTTATTAAGAATAAGGACGAATGCAATATCTATCATGCGTCGTGTGAGTTAAGAATTTCGTATTAGATGTCCAACGTCATAAAGCAAAAAAATTACACATAAGAAAAACAATGTGTGGCCTCGATAATAGGTGCCGACGGCGAGCACTAACATAATGCTTACAATGAATAAGTTTACAAAGATAAATATAACTAAAGAATTACAAAAATTACTATAAAACTAATTGTATTTGAATAAAATTCTTCATGAAGAAAAATAAAATAATCATAAATCTAGATCTGTTTGTACCATTTTGTATTCCTATTGTGTTATTAAAAATGTGAAATTAAATTGCCAACGAAACCTTAAAATCTAATGCCGGTAATTTCTCAACCCTGCCACGGCAATTAATATCTAAGGAACTACGTAGACACGCAATGAGAGTTTCAATCGATTTAGTTTTAAACTTTATTCAATTAAACCCAGTTTAACTAACACAAGTGATCAAGGGCTAAGTAAATTTAGTTTAAATGAGCAGGCTTTTCATTGCACTCGCTGTGAATCGATGAAAAGAAGGCAGCGGTAAATGGCGTTTAGATTTAAGGATTTTGTTTACCTTACATTTTGAATAGGCGTTGATATAACCGACTTCTAAGTGTACTAAAAGTATATAATATTTATTTTATTTACACCATTTTGTATCATGTAAATATAATACTATATTTTTTTGCATGATGACGATAAGCTTTGATGCTGGTGGTGCAGCAGTGAGCCGAATTATTTGACACTTTGGACATTCAAAAGTCAACAATCATTTATTCGTATATACTCTGATTTTTTTTATGGCTCTGACACGATTTGTGCATTTGCTAGGGTCAAGTATAGGATTTTTTATAATTCGTGCTTGTCTTTAAAAATTCGACCGTGTCCTCCATGTACAGTTTAAGCAGTACCGCACAACCCTCCCAAAGGCCGAGAACAAATTTAAATTAAATTAAAACTTGCCCTCGAACCGGGAATCGAACCCGGTACCCCTCACCTTCTGATTTTTTATTCCGTAGAATTCTGACATTTGATAAGTGTTGCTACTTAAAAAGTTCTCCACCGAAAAAGGGACAAATTTGACTTATTTGAGGGCAATTAAAAAAAAAATGCTATGTATTTTTTTATGTTTTACCTACTAAAAGGTAAATTCTTACTCAAGTGACCTAATACAAACTAACAAATATTTCAATATCACGAACAATATATCGAATTAACTTTAAATTACTTTATTTTATTATTTAGCTGACATCACTGCCTACTAATTCCAGGTTTAGTAAATCATTAAAAAAAAATGTTAAATGTATGTATATACTCAACATGTCAAAAAATTATAGCTGTCAGAATTCTACGGAATTAAAAATCAGATTATAGGTAATACAATGTACACTTATGAACGTCAAAAAAAGAAATATACATTAAATGCTTCTAATTTTACATTTACTGCCAGTTCTCAAATCAAGGGCGTAGAACGGAAGAGAAGAACTGGCATTCAACTCTGTCCCTAGATTGTATATAAAAAAACAAGTCAAATTGTAAGCCTCCAGCCCTGCGATTCTGTAACTCACTTTTCGAGCTCACACAGCGGTTTTCGCATCGGCGGTCGCTCTCAAATCAGTCGTGAAGCAGTCATTTTATGATTTGGCATTCTGATAAACAATAAACTACAAGCTCCCACCTTTTCAAGTTAAAATTTGTTCTTTTGATGTTAAAATTTATAATTGTATTTAAAAGAAAGTATTGGAGATTCGGGTTCGAAATCAAAAAATTAAGCAACTTTCGATATTCTTAAATGGTCTTTTTTGACAATATTCGACAGATAAAAATATATTTTATTAATTAATCAAGTTAACCGTAGTATATGGTAGACTCTGTGTTAAGCCCACATAATGGGGTTTCAAACTGGTTTATGTTTGCTTCTTTTATAATTATATTTTTTATAGGCACGTCCTCATATGGATTTGAAGCTTTGCATACTTC